CACACTTCTGGCTTGGGTGACTGGTGATGGCATTGAGGACAAGTGAGGTTTAGGGGAGAAGATGTTGAGGTTGAGACTGAGGGGCCTGTGGGTCACATTGGGGGAGTGTCCACGGGGTAATGATGTACTGACCACCTGCTGTATGCTTGGCCCTGGGAAGTGTCTTTCATCTGCTTTAGAGTTTACAGATGGAGAAAATGAGAAATTGAGGCTCAGAGAGGTAAAAGAACTTGCCCAAGATCACAGTACTAGCCCAAACAGAGCTGGGGTTTTAATTCAGGTTTGTCTGATTTCAGATCCACTATCTTTGGTGCCCTGGTGGCATAGTGGTCAAGAGCTAGGACTGCTAACCAAAAAGTCAGCAGTTCAAATCCACCAGCTGCTCCTTGGAAACCTATGGGGCAGTTCTACTGTGTCCTATAGAGCCGCTATGAGTCGGAATCAACTCGATGGCAATGGGTTTGGTTTTGGTTTTTTATCTTTAGGGGAAGCAGTGGGAGATGAGGCAGGAAGGGATGGTTGAGGGTTGAGGGGTGGAAGGAATTTGAATGTGCAAAGAAGGGAGCTCCCCTCCCCTCTGTCATGGGGAGGGCAGGCAAGATGGGCGCCCTGGCACAGTCATGTTAACCAAGCCTCCCTCTGCCTGATGCTGGCAGGAACAGCATCATCTATCAACTTAGAGGTGTGTACCTGGGGAAATAAACACCAATTAACCACTTTGAGGTTTCCTATTAATGAACATTAGTTGCTCAGGCCTGCTGCTGGGCTCATTTGGCAAGCTGCTGGCTGGATCTGAGTTGGCATAAGGCCAGAGGGCCAGGCTGAGCAGGGGTGGATCGTTTCTGGTTTAAGGAGACTAGACAAATTGATTGAGGTATCTGCTTGGTGCCAAGCTTGTTTTAGTGGCCCGTGCTCTATGTCGGGGGTAAGATTGAAACAGGCGGAAGGGTGGCAAGGAAGAGGGTCAGAAATAAAGTGGAGTACCTGGAGGTGCTCTGGCCCCCCCAGCCTCCCTGGCTCTCATTGGCTGTGGTGCTGGAGAGGGTACAGCCTGGCCACCAGGTGGGCCTGCTAGGTCACCTCAGAGGGGACCCAGGGCAGGGCTCAGGAACAGACTCTGGAGCCACAGCGTCGAGAGGGAATCCCGGCTCCAGCACATAGTAGCTGTGACCTCTCTGTGCCTCAGCACCTTCACTCCAAACGTCTGCAGAGCTAGAGGGCTCTCTGAGCAGGTCCCCTCCAATGCCCCATCCAGAGGTGAAGCACCCAGGAGTTCACCCTCTGCTGCCAATGGGACACAGCGCGCCAAGGGCTTTCCCAGGTGGCTTCCTGTCTCCATCAAAGCTCTCACAATCCAGTTAAGGGGCTCGACTCATGCCCTCTACCTCTGGAGGTGCTGACTGCCAAGTGCTTCTCGGACACGGCCACTCTCGGGCCTTCCACAGAGGGAGCGACCCACCGTGTGGGGATGGGTCAGTCAAAGTGGCTGCTAATCTCTGTGCACACAGGAATAAGAAAACATTCGGGGCTGAGCCCAGGTCTGGGGCCTGACTGCTTGTCTGTGAATGAGCTGATGAGCTCCATCTCCTTGCAGCCAGTGAGCTCTGTGTTACCTTGGGCTGTAAGTCCCCTCTGGACCCATAACTGGGGAACCAAGGACTTTGTTGAGATTACCCAGGCATTGGTCCAGTTTCCTGACTTCTTGGTCTTGGCTTGGGTTCAGCAACCGAATGGTCTGGGGAGCAGGCGGCCCTGGTGGGAAAAGGTGCTTTCCCCAGACTGAGGTCATATCCAGAGCCAAGCTCCTGGCTCCTGCTCTGGATCAAGGGTACATCTGGTCTCCAAAGTGGAGGTGACAGCCCACCTTCGCTGTTCCTGCCTGCCAGGCAAATCTTCAGACCTCCAGACCTTCCTGACCTGGTCCCCTCTCTGGCCAGCCTCCCACCCTCTGGGACCCAGCACTTGGCTCCAGGCAGCCAGCTGTGCCTGTCCTCCAGCCTCCGAGCCTAGCTCATGCTGCTCCCTCCGCCCCTCCCAGCTCAATTTCTCTCTTTGGTGGAGGTCTCCCTGACCACCACAAAGCTGGTGGGCCTGTCCACCTCAGAAGGCCTCTCATAGCTGGGGCAGCCACCAGCTAGGACTATTCCAGAGCCCATTACAGCCCATCACCTGGTATTGGCCCTTCTCTTTACCCAGGTGACCACCTTGTGCTCACCCAGGGAAAGACCCTCCCCCCGCGCCTGAGGACGCCAACCGATCACAAGGACCCAGGCATTCACTCAGCAAGTTCTTGGGTTCCTACCGACCGTGTCCAGGAACACTGGATACATTGACGTTTTGGAAACCTTGGTGGACAAGACACCAGACCTGGGGTGGGGGCATTTACCAGCTGTCTGACCTCAAGCAAGTGACTTTATCTGTCTTGCATCTATAAAATAGAGGAAACAATAAATAACACAGCCATCTAACACTTTACTGCAAAGACTAAACCAAAGGGCTTGTGTAAAGTGCCTGCTGGCACATGGTAGGGCTCAACAACTGTCACTGCCCTCCTTTCAGGACAGTGTGGTTGTAAGCAGGCTCTCATTTCTGGCACGGTGGCAACAGTGTGGGTGAGTTTTGAGGGTGGATCCAGGCTCCAGCCCCAGCAGCCTGGGTGGGTGTCCCTGGTAAACTGCACACAGTTTCGCCACCTATAAAAAGGAGCAACAGAGCCAGTTATTTCCCAGGGGTTGTGAGAATTTGTGAATGTTTTTCCCCAAGCATCTTACGACCACCTGTCAGGTGGGCAAGGGCAGGGATTCTGCCCCTGCATTCACTGCTGTACTCCCCAGAGCATGGCCTAGCACATAGCAAGTGCTCAGTAAGGGTTTCTAAAGCGAATGAAGGGTGAGGTATAAAGCAAAGGGCCCATCCAGAAGGGGAAATTAGTACATGTGGATCTTCTCCTCCCTACCTGCCCCCCACTCTCCTCCCTGACCCACATCCCACACTGTCTCTCAACAAATCAAAGAGCAGCGAGCAACAGGAGGAGCCTTGTCAGGCAGCCTCTGCTAAGCTCTCCATCTTGCCCCCTGCCTGCCCCAGCCAGCGAAGGGCCCACTTGCGGGTTTCTGATTCACTCCATCAGCCGAAGCCAAATTATCTGGCCGGCTTTTCAGACAGATTTGGGGTTGCAGGAAAATCCCAGCTGGAAATGGGGTGAGGCAGATTGGCTGGCCGCCTAGCTGGAACCTAGAAGCCGTCTCATCTGTCAAGCCCTTTGTTCACTACTATATGGCCGCAGAGGGAGTCATCAATAGATCCTTCACTTGCTGCACAGATGGGGACATGACTGGGGTGGCAGGTCACTGCAGGGATGGAGGATGCTGTAGAGGATGCACCCCTACTTCCCAGGTGGGGATGGTTTGGTCCAGAGGGAGGGCTTGTTAGGAGTTGGCCATCAGGCCCTGTGTCAGGCTGTCCTGGAAACACAGTGTCATCTCAGGGCAATTTCCTGAAGTCTGCACATCCACCTCCCTTGGCTCTGCAAAGCACAGCAGCCTGCCTGAGGGGATAACAGCCCCAAACTGCCCAGTCAGCCCCCAGACACCATGGCAGGCCCCCACCACTCTTCCCCCAAAGCTCTGTGGCACTCATTCCTAATCTTTTTGAGTGCAGACCCTACTGGGATGGACTTTTCTCAGACTCACACATGCACACTCTCCACATAAAATCTCACACTGTTACAGCAGGTTCATATCTTTTGTTGTTGTTGCTGCCATCGAGTCAACTCTGACTCGTGGTGACCCCATGTGCGTCAGAGCAGAACTGTGTTCCATAGCGTTTTCAATGGCTGACTTTTGGGAAGCCTTTCTTTCGGGGCACCTCTGGGGGGACTTGAACCTTTCAATCACCAGCCACTCAAAGGCATTAACCCATTTGCACCACCCAGGGACTTCTCACATCTAAGGGCCCGTTAATTAAACTCCTTAGACCTGCGGTTCAGCAACCTTGCCTCAACTCTGGGACCTACCCTAGTCTGAGGTCCACTCCCTCCTGCCCCTGCCTCTCCTCTGCCCTGGACTCCCCTCTGCCCAGTTCTATCCCTGGGGGGTCATGGGCCTAGTGGGGCTGTGCTCAGGTCCAGGCCCCAGCTCGAATGTACCCCTGGGCCTGAGGTGGGCAGGTTCTTGGAAGGAGGTAGAGTAACATGGACAAGAAGGGAGAAAAGCCGCCCGACTCCACCATAGCTCTCCCACGCCCTCCCAAGCCCAGGGCCACTGCCAGCCGCTGGCAGCCACCTCACTCACACCAGCATCAGCTTGGGTTCCGTGAAAACACTTCATCGCTTCCTCTGCCCTTCTGCCCCGTCTTGGGACTACCACACCCTTTCCCCACTCAACCCGGCCAGCCTACGGGGCCTTCTGCTCCTCCTCTCACTGGGGTCCTGGAGGCAGTCCCAGGCCTGTATCTTGTGCCTCATGCCCACAGAGAGACACTCTTTTCTTCAGGGTCTGGGGAGCAGCTGGTTTCCACGAGTTCAATTCAGATCCAAACCATTATCAAGTTGGGGTTTGCGGGATAAGCTCCCTTCCTCTGAAGAGTAGCCAGGGATTCCAGTTGGTTGAGAGCGAAAATGGGGCAGAGCCAGAGCTCTGAGAATATAAAAATGGCCAATAACCAACAGGACATGGAATTATCAACTGGAAAAAGTATCTCTGCGTTGTACTCAACTGTCCTTTTGGAGAAGGGCAGCCAGGCAGTGCCTCTTTGTAGCAGAGCCCTGTCATGAGTGGACGCCTCCTTCTGCCTATCCACGGCCCAGAACAACAAAGGAAACGTCTGCTCCTGGCCGTGGCAGCTTGGTATGTGCTGCTGCTCCTGTGCAATAGGACTGAAAACCTTCTTCACAGTGAGTTTTGAGTCTTTACTAGCGCATTAGTTTTCTGTTACTGCTGTAACAAACGACTGCAAACTTAGTGGCTTAAAACAAGACAAATTTATTAAGTTCTGGAGGTCAGAGTCTGAAATGAGTGTCACTGTCAAGGTTGGCAGGGTGGTTCCTTCAGGAGGCTCTGAGGGGAGAGTCCATTTCCTTCTCTAACTTCGGTACTCCTTGGCTCATAACCCCTTCCTTGTATCACTCCAACCTCTTGCTTCCATCCTCAGATCTACTTCCTCTCAGATCTCCAGCCTCCCTCCTATAAGGACTCTGTGATCACATCAGGCCCGCCTGGATAATCCAGGATAATCCCCCATCTCAAGATGCTTAACTTAATCACATCTGCAAAATCCCTTTTGCCACATGAAGTAACATTCACAGGTTCCTGCGATTAGAATACGGATACCGTGGGGGGCCATTATTCAATCTACCACAACTGCTATACCCCCCTGGAGTCTCAATGACTGGAAGAAAATGGGTTAGGGGTTTTCCACTTTGGGTTCAGCAGGGTCCTTCCTAACCTTGTATATTTAAGGTCTGGGTTTCACTAACCCTCCCCATCCAGCCAGAGAAGCTCACTGCTGTGTCTCCTTGAAAGTCAGGTGACAAGTCCAAGTGCTGGTGACAGGGGCAGGGCCAGCCTGCTGCAGCCTCCTGGGCTGGGGTGTGCTTGCCCTGAGCCCGTACCCCGCTGACTGAACAAGCCCACATTCAAAAGGGAAACAGAGAAGAATCTGGGGTCTGGTGAGGGCTCCGGGGAGGCCAGCCAGCACTGGGCCTGCTGGCCACAGGAGAGTGAGGCCTGCTAGGACGGCACAAGGCAGCCAGAGCGGACGGGTGGCTACAGAGGCTGGCCTGGTACTGTGGGAGTCAGAGGAAGAAACTGGGGCTGCAGTCCCAGTCCCCAGAGATGACGGAGACAGTGGTGAGAGCGGCTCTGCAGTTGTGGTGAGAATCTCTCTGCCCCACATCATCTGGAGGTGAGGGGGGGCCCTCACCAGACAAGGGTAGCTCCAAAGTCCCAGACACTGGGCTTTCTCTGTGTAATGAGCGAGCAGCTGGGGCAAGGGTAGGGCAGCGGCAGAGCCGGGAGGCAGGGAGCCTCTTTTGCTACCTCTTCTCTATGTTCTGCATCTGCAAGCTGAGGGAGGTGAAGCTGGCCAGGAGGTCGGTCACCTCATCCACCTGCCGGACAAAACCAAGGCTCTGTTACCAGGTGCTGGGCCCCCAGGTCTCCTCCCCAACACCACAGGCACAGAGTGCAGGCACTGCCTCTCCTCCCGGGCACGTGGTGGCTGTCCTTCCCTCTGACCACGGAGCAGCTGTCCAAGGGTTAATCCCTGACACCAGGTGGTCTCTGGCTGCCCCAGAGAGAGGGGTCATGAGCAAACAGGGGGCACAGGCAGCTTCAAAGGAAGTGGACAGAGGCTTTGGGGCCCCAGTGGGCTGCAATCCCCCGGTACAACCTCTTCCTGTGTGTGGCTGCACTGCAGCAGAGAGGGACTGGCCCTAGGGCTCCTGCCAGGCCCTGGGTGTGGATCTGTGGCTGTGACCCACCTGCTCTTTGGTGCTGGTCATCTGGAGGCGGGTACAGAGGTCGTCCAGCCGTTCCCGCTGCTCATGCCGCCCCAGGCGCTCCAGGTACTCCCTCAGCATCTGGATGATCTGAAATGAAGGTGGATGAGCTGCCTAGGTTCCAACCAGGAGGCTGAGAGAGCCTGATGCTGCTGCCACAAGGCAAGAGGAAGCAGACGCCAACTGCACTGGCGCCAGAGGCAGGCACGTCTGTGGGCTGGGCAGCACCTGTCCAGTGCTTGCTTGGGGCTTAGCAGGGGAGGGGGCACTCACCTGCTTCACCTCCAGCCGCACGGCCTCCAGGCACTGGGAGTGGCCCTCCTGTAGGATGTTCAGCTTTGACTTGGCCAGGTGCAGGGGTGTGCGACCAGCTCGATCCAGGGCATCCACGCGGGCACCTACAAGTGCAGGCAGAAGTGAGCATGCTACCGGTGGGGGTGGGGGAGACAGGAAGGAGAAGGGGAAGGGACAACATACCCCCTCGCAGCAGTGTGGTGATGACAGGAACATGGTTGGTGCAGGCCGCTGAGGAAAAAGAACAGGGATTTGAGGCCCAGGGACCACTGGGGCCTGGCCCTGTGTGCCCACAAGAGGGAGCAGGACTGTGCCTCCTAAGACTGCATCACCGATGCAACAGCTAGGCAGGACTCGGCAAGCATCAAGGCCAACTCCCTCCCTGTACAGCTGGGGGAACTGAGCCCAGCAGATGGGATCTGCTCACTGTCAGCCGTGTGAGTCTCAGCAGCATGTCTCACAACATCACACTTCCCCCAGCAGAGGCGGTCAGGTCTAGATCACTGATCAGCCCTGCCCAGGGCACAGCCAAATGCTGAGTGATGGGAAAGTCCATGTAACGGAGGCGGAGGGGAGTGTAGCCCTGGGGGCCAGGCTCTCCCCAGGATGCTGGGAGCCTGCAGAATCCCAGGCTCTCCAACAAAGGAGCCTGTCTGTGCTGCAGAAAAGGATATGTTGGCAGCTTTCCAGGCACTTACCCAGGTGCAGAGGCGTGTTCCCTAGCCCGTCTCGCTGATTGGGATCAGCCCCATGGTCCAGGAGCAGCTGCACTGGAAACAGAAGAACCCAAGAGGAGCTTTCGGAGGCCTCCCGTGACACTTGTACTCCCCCCTCCTGCCCTAGGCAGAGAGCTGGCTCAAAACGTGGAGCGCTGAGTGCAAACAAGCTCCCCTCGTTGTTTCACTCTTTCACTCACTCACTCCACAGATTCACATACAGCACCCTGAGACCCAGACACTGAGGATTCCAGGAGGGCTTGCAGCCTATGCAGGTGTTGTAGGACTGGGAGTTTAAGGGTTAAGGAAGTTCTTCCAACATGGTGAAGGCTCTCAAGAGCATTTTCTGCTCCTCTACAGCCAAGTGTCATAGTGAGAACTGGGCCAATGGATGGTGCTGAGCACTGTGAGTCTCTAGGCCACCTCAGGATGGGCTGTGGCATTGCCAGTTACCCATGTGGATACAGGTGGGCTAACAGGGGTCCATGACATTGTACGGGGAGGCAGGGCTGAGTCCCAGGGTGTGAGGCTAAGGTTGGCCTGACACAGCCTGTGCTGCTCTGACAGATGAAGATGAAAACCGTTTGCTTTCTGAATAACACCAAATGGCTGGTTTTTGACTCTGTGTGTTCTCGTGAGCCTCTGCCCAGCCACCTGAGCAAGTCAGGCTCTTGTCACATTTGGGGATGAGGACACGGGGGCTCAGAAAAGCCAAAACACTTGCCTGAGGCCATATACTAAGTTAAAAGGTAGGACCTGGTCAAGAACCCAGGCTGTCATCTTTGTCCCTTTTTAGGGTGTGTGCGTGGGGATTATAAGTATCTTTCATTTTCTTCTCTGATTTATTTTAAAAAAAAAATTGTTTACAGTGAACACGTAAAACCAAAACCAAACCCGTTGCCACTGAGTTGATTTTGACTCATAGCGACCCTACAGGACAGAGTAGAACTGTCCCATAGAGTTTCCACGGAGTGCCTGGTGGATTTGAACTGCTGACCTTTTGGTTAGCAGACACAGCTCTTAACCACTACGTCATCAGGGTTTCCAGTGAACATGTACACACACAATTAAAGCAAATAAACTGCTTGGGTTGGAATCCAGGCTTGACCACTTTAGCATTTGCCTTTTACCATAACAGCTTTACCATTTAGCCTCTCAAAAGCTTGTTTTTGCATCGGTAAAATGGGAATAATATTTTTTAACCTCATAGGATTACATTAATTACCTGTAAAGCACTTTGAATAGGTCCCTGACACACTGCAAATGCTCCGCAATGTCACGTATCATCATGATCATCATCATCACACCGCCCTGCCTTTCTGTGATGAATCAGGCTTAAAGTTTCAAGTACTTCATATACTCAAATCTAATTTGACCCCTCTGATTCTTGTTTACTAAAAAGAGTCCCTTCCACTGAAATTCAGTGAAGAAAATGGCATTTTCAGTAAGTGGAGTTGGGTCACATTGGAGATCCATGGCAGGCAGAGGGCAATGAGCCTTAGCCCCTACCTCACACCATACACAAAAATTAATTTGAAAGGAATCATAGATCTAAATGTGAAAGCTAAAACAGTCAGACTTCTAGAAGAAAACACAGGAGAATATCTTCATGATCTTGAGACAGGCAACGATTTCTTAAATAAGTCACAAAAAACACTAACTATAACCAGGAAAAGATTGATAAATTAAATTTCATAAAATTAAGAACTTCTGTTCATCAAAAGACACAATATTCAGAGAACAAAAAGGCAAGCTCAGAAAAAGGCAGGTCATTTATATCTGATAGCTGATTCGTATCCATAATATATAAGGAAGTCCTAGAAATCAATAAGAAAAACACAAATTGTTTAAAAATGGGCAAAAGACTTAAACAGATACTTCATAAAAGATAATCTAAAAATGGTCAACAGCCATATAAAGAGGTGTTCAACATGGTGGGAGTGGGAGATAAGATAACTGAGTTAAGCGAGGGCATTTAAAATGATGTTTTATTCACTTTAAAGTAATAATTAAAATGTTCATAAACAAATATGACAACTGAAAGTAACCTTTAAGAGGACAGCGGGACAGAAAAGGAGGGTTACGGGTTTACCTGTCATGAACACGCACTGTTTCTGCCACACAACACCCCTCGTCTACTAGGAAGCTGCCCTCATTCCTTCTCATAAGATTCTGGCAGGCTGCCAGCCCCTGGATCCCTCCCAGGCCCAGGCACAGGGCTGGGCCAGGGTCCAGGAGGTGGGCCTGAGCTGCTGGCAGCATCTTTTCCACCTCACGGGAAGGGTCTATCTCTGGTAGCAGAGAACGCGACCCACAGGCAGGGACACAGAGTGTCTTGCAGGCGATAGCGGGAGAGAGCGTGAGCTTCTGTTCTGATTAAGACACTAACCAACAGAGTCCTTTCTGATTAGATGCTGCCCAGCTCACACCAACTTCTGAACCCTGGTTTCCTCGTCTGTAAAATGGGGATGTGTCACCTCCCCTGTAGGGCTGTTCTAAGAATGAGAGATATGGGTAAGATGCCTGTCACTTAGTAAATGCTCATTAAATGAGAGCTACTATTATCATCATGTGCATTTACCTTTGAATACACACACACACAAACACACACACTTGGACAGAGGTGCAGAGCTGCTTATCTACCACATTAATCTCTCTATCCCAGAGAGCTCCATGAGAAAAGGGACTATGCTTGTTTCACAGTTGTATTATCAATGCCTAGAACATAACAGGCTCTAAACATTCGTTGAATGGACAAATGGAACTGATTTAGGAGTGGGCTACCCATGGTTCCTAATTGGAGACTTCCCTTCAGTCTCAGAGTCAATCATATTCTTTCCCCAGGTCTACCCCTTCCCCAGCCTGGAGTGCCAGATCCAAGCATGTAGTAAGGAGGGAGAGGGGTGAGGCACTATCACATCAGGTGTTTTTTATACCCAGTACCCCCGGCACCCCAAGGCTGTGAAGAGAGCAGAACTTCCTCCAGAGCCTCTGGAGAGGTGTGACTGGCCTGGCCCCGCTGCCCTCCTCCCTACCCAGCACTCACCGATCTGGTCATTGCCATTGCAGGATGCAAAGTGCAGAGCTGTGCGGCCCTTGTCATCAGCTGCACAGGGATCCACGCCATCTTCCAGCAGCTGCTGCACTGACACCACCAGGACAGAGGGAAGAAGGGGAGAGAGTGGAGTGTGAGGCAAGCTGCAGTCCCAGAGAAACGGAGAGGGATGCTCAGGGCCCCTGCAGGCAAGGCATCAACAATGCACAGGAAAGCCAGCCCCTCCTGAACGCTGGCCCCACAGGGACTACCATGACAGGCACTTGTTCTCCTGAGGGCACAACTGAGAGTCAGGGACTGTGTGTGCTCAAGCTATATGTCTAGGGATGGAACGCTGCAGGAAGACCTTGACCCTCAGCGTCAGGAATTGTGGAGTCATGGAAATCCCCAGCATAGACTCTGACCCCATCCTTCCACCTGAGTTTGGATACACACCCATTCTAGCTGGCCACAGCTGCCTAACCTGTTGACCGATGCTTACTTTGTACCAGGAAGCAGCCTGGTAGACTGAATGGAGCACCATGGAGCCACAAAGACTTGTGTTCAAACCCAGCTACTCATCTGCAATGTGTTCTAAGTCACAGCCTCTCTAGGCCTCATATTCCTCATCTATAAAATGGGGCTAAAACCACTGACTCTGGACAGTTGTGGGAATCAAGTGAAGCATTTAAAGCCTAGCATTGTGCCTGGCACAAGCCAGGAGCCTAATAAATGTCAGTAATCCCCTTTTCCCCCACGCATCTGTCAGTTTGTCATACTGTGGGGGCTTCTGTGTTGCTGTGATGCTGGAAGCTATGTCACCAGTATTCAAATACTAGCAGGGTCACCCATGGTGTACAGGTTTCAACTGAGCTTCCAGACTAAGACAGACTAGGAAGAAGGACCTGGCGGTCTACTTTTGAAAAGAATTAGCCAATGAAAGTCTTATGAATAGTTGTGGGACACTGTCTGATATAGTGCCAGAAGATGAGCCTTTCAGGTTGAAAGGTGCTCAAAATACGACTGGAGAAGAGCTGCCTCCTCAAAGTAGAGTTGATCTTAATGACGTGGATGGAGTCAAGCTTTCAGGACCTTCATTTGCTGATGTGGCACAACTCAAAATGAGAAGAAATAGCTGCAAACATCCATTAATAATCAGAATGTAGAATGTACAAAGTATGAATCTAGGAAAATTGGAAATCATCACAAATGAAATGGAATGCATAAACATCGATATCCTAGGTATCAGTGAGCTGAAATGGACTGGTATTGGCCATTTTGAATCAGACAATCCTATGGTCTACTATGCCAGGAATAACAAATTGAAAAGAAATGGCTTCATATTCTTCATCACAAAGAACATTTCAAGATATATCCTGAGGTACAACGCTGTCAGTGATAGGTTAATATCCATACGCCTACAAGGAAGACCAGTTAACACAACCATTATTCAAATTCACACACCAACCATTAAGGCCAAAGATGAAGAATTTGAAGATTTTTACCAACTTCTGCAGTCTGAAATTGATCGAATATGTAATCAGGATGCACTGATAATTACTGGTGATTGGAACGCAAAAGTTGGAAACAAAGAAGGTTCACTAGCTGGAAAACATGGTCTTGGTGACAGAAACGATGCCAGAGATCACATGATAGAATTTTGCACGACCAACGATTTCTTCATTGCAAATACTTTTTTCCAACTACATAAACGGTGACTATACATGTGGACCTCGCCAGATGGAATACACAGGAATCAAATCGACTACATCAGTGGAAAGAGAAGATGGAAAAGCTCAACATCATCAGTTAGAACAAGGCCAGGGGCCAACTGCAGAAGAGACCATCAGACCAACTTGCTCATATGCAAGTTCAAGTTGAAGCTGAAGAAAATTAGAACAAGTCCATGAGAGCCAAAGTATGACCTTCAGTGTATCTCACCTAAATTTGGAGATCATCTCAAGAACAGGTTTGACACATTGAACACTAAAGACCAAAGACCAGATGAGTTGTGGAATGACATCAAGGACAGACATCATACCTGTAGAAACTAAGACATCACTGAAAAGACAGGAAAGAAAGAAAAGACAAAAATGGATGTCAGAAGAGACTCTGAAACCTGCTCTTGAATGTAGTGTAGCTAAAGCAAACGAAAGAAATGATGAAGTAAAAGAACTGAACAGAAGATTTCAAAAGGCAGCTCAAAAAGACAAAGTAAAGTATTATAATGACATGTGCAAAGACCTGGAGTTAGAAAACCAAAAGGGAAGAACACGCTTGGCATTTTTCAAGCTGAAAGAACTGAAGAAAAAATTCAAGCCTCGAGTTGCAATAGTGAAGAATTCTATGGTCAAAATACCAAATGACGCAAAAAGCATCAAAAGAAGATAGAATACACAGAGTCACTGTACCAAGAAGAACTGGCTGATGTTCAGCCATTTCAGGAGGTAGCATATGATCAAGAACCAATAGTACTGAAGGAAGAAGTCCAAGCTGCACTGAGGACACTGGTGAAAAACAAGGCTCCAGGAATTGACAGAATACCAACTGAGATGTTTGAATAAGCACTGGGAAGTACTCACTCGTCTATGCCAAGAAATTTGGAAGACAGCTACCTGGCCAACCAACTGGAAGAGATTTATATTTATGCCTACTCCAAAGAAAGGTGATCCAACCAAATGCAGAAATTATCAAACAATATCATTAATATCATATGCAAGTAAAATTTTGCTGAAGATCATTTGAAAGCAGTTGCTGCAGTACATCAACAGGGAACTGCCAAAAATTTAAGCCGGATTTAGAAGAGGACATGGAACCAATGATATTGCTGAGGTCAGATGGATCCTGGCTGAAAGCAGAGAATACTAGAAAGATGTTTACCTGTGTTTTATTGACTATGCAAAAGCATTCAATTGTGTAGATCATAACGAATTATGGATAACATTGCAAGAATGGGAATTCCAGAACACTTAATTGTGCTCATGAGGAACCTGTACATAGATCAAAAGACAGTCACTCAAAGAGAACAAGGGGATACTTCGTGGTTTAAGGTCAGGAAAGGTGTGCGGCAGGGCTGTATTCTTTCACCATACTTATTCAATCTGTATGCCAAGCAAATCGTCCGAGAAGCTGGACTATATGAAGAAGAACAGGGCGTCAGGATTGGAGGAAGACTCATTAACAACCTTCGATATGCAGATGACACAACCTTGCTTGCTGAAAGTGAAGAGGACTTGAAGCACTTACTGATGAAGATTAAAGACTACAGCCTTCAGTATGGATTACACCTCAACATAAAGAAAACACAAATCCTCACCAATAAGCAACCTGGACCAATCCTGTACCAATAAGCAGCATCATGAAAAACGGAGAAAATATTGAAGTTGTCAATGATTTCATTTTACTTGGATCCACAATCAATGCCCAAGGAAGCAGCAGTCAAGAAATCAAACGACACACTGCACTGGGCAAATCTGCTGCAAAAGACCTCTTTAAAGTGTTAAAAAGGCAAAGATGCCACTTTAAAGGCTAAGGTGCACCTGACGAAGCCATGGTGTTTTCAATGGCCTCATGTGCATGTGAAAGCTGGACAATGAATATGGAAGACCGAAAAATTGATGCCTTTGAATTACGGTGTTAGCAAAGAATATTGACTATACCATGGAGTGACAAAAGAACAAACAAACCTGTCTTGTAAGAAATACAGCCAGAATGCTCCTTAGAAGCAAGGATTGTGAAACTTTGTCTCACATACTTTGGACATGTTATCAGGAGGGATCAGTCCCTAGAGAAGGACATCATGCTTGGTAAAGCAGAGGGTCAGTATAAAAGAGGAAGTTCCTCAAGGAGATGAGTTTACACAGTGGCTGCAACAATGGGCTCAAGCATAACAGTGATTGTAAGGATGGTGCAGGACTGGGCAGTGTTTCATTCTGACGTGCATAGGGTCGCTATGAGTCAGAACCAACTTGACAGCACCTAGCAAAAAGAACTCCCCGTTTCTTTCCTCTTAGCTGGGCAAGGGGGATAAGACACCCTGTGTTATGGATTGAGTTGTGCCCCCAAAAAAGATATGTTGAAGTCCTAATGCCTGCATTGGTGAACGTGACGTTGTTTGGGGAAATGGGTTTTTCTTGGCTGATGCTATCAGTTAGGTTAATGAAGTTATACCAGAGTAGGGTGGGTCCTAACCCTAATTCCCTCTGAGTGGCATTTTATAAACGAGAAAGACAGATAGGAAACAGAGTCCCACACGTAGTATTTGAGGATCGTCAACAAGTCAAGAAATGCTAAGGACCCAGGGCTGCCAGAAGCTGAAAGAGACAAAGAAGGCTCTTCTCACAGAGCCCACAGACAGAGAGCACGGCTCTGCTGACGCCCTGAACTAAGACTTCTAGCCTCCAGAACTGTGAGAAAATAAATTTTTGTTCTTTAAAGCCACCCACTTTGTGTATGCTGTTGGGGTGTTGTTGTTGTTATGGCAGCTAACATAGGAAAGTAAGACACCCTGGAATTAAAGTCTCCCGGAGGAACTTTTATGGCTCGAAACTAAGTAGATTGCAAATGATCGTGTTGTTCCTAGGATTGAGAAGTTGAATTTTGTTTGACAGGTTTCTTTTAATGTACCCAGCCTGAAAGGATACTTACAGCGCATTTAGTACTTCAAAAGGCAGTAAGCCAGAAGAACTAGATGGTGCCCAGCTACTACCAATGACGACCCTGACAGGGAACACGACAGAGTCCCGGACAGAGCAGGAGAAAAATGTAGACCAGAACACAAATGCACGTAAAAAGACCAGACTTACTGGTCTGACAGAGACTGGAGGAACTCCCAAAACTATGGCCCCCAGACGCACTGTTAACCCAGAACTGAAAACATTCCCAAAGCCCACTCTTCAGATAAAGATTAGACAGGACTATAAAACAAAAAATAATACACCTGAGGAACATGCTTCCTAGTTCAGTCAGATACATGAGACCAAATGGGCAGCTCCTGTCCAAAAGCAGGATGAGAAGGCAGAAAGGGACAGGAACTGGTTGAATGGGCACAGGGAACCCGGAGTGGAAAGGGGGATCATGCTGTCACATTGTGGGGATTGCAAATAATGTCA